GCTGATAAAGGTTATGACCCTTAAACTCATCCAATCATCTTCTGAGATCACCGGCAACCAGACGTTGATTAAATTTTTTTCTCTAATTCTTCGTCAATTTATCCCTTTCTGCGCCCATTGTATAAAAAAATTTAATCAACGTGTGGTTCGTTTGATCTCAGTTCTTCATTGGTTAAAATCCGATTATGACGTCGAATTTTCTTGCTTTCCTCCGAATTTCCTATTGTGACGGCATGAAAAAAGGCGACCATGTCTGATGACGTCACATAGAAAGAACACATCTTTTTGCAGATCATTCGAAAAGAAAGAATAAATTTACCTGCGTATTGTTTGAAAATCATTAGAGAAACAGATTCCACCACCAAATCTCGTGTAATACGATATTTATCCACTCTCGACAGTTAAATTTTAAATATTTAAAACGCTCGGCGAGCCTCGCGTTTTAAATTTGAAAATTTAACTGTCTCGAGTGGATATAAATATCGTATCACACTCGATGCAGTGGTAGAATCTATATTTCTCTAATTCTATGGAAATTTATCCCTTTCCGAACCCATTGTATAAAAAATTTTAATCAACGTGTGGTTGCCAGTGATCTCAGATGATGATTGGATGAGTTTAAGGGTCATAACCTTTCTCAGCTCACTGGATGCATCAAAATATGCTAACAGGTGTTAATGAAATTGACAACTTTGTTGAAAGTGGAAGGCACTCGAAGGGGATTTTAGTTTAGCAAAAAAGGAAAATTTATTTTTTAATCATTAGAGAAACAGATTCTTACATAGTTACTCGTGGATTATCGGATTTATCCAATCTCGATAGTTAAATTATAAATTTTAAAGTCCTCGCCGAGGCTCGGACTTTAAAATTGATAATTTAACTATCTCGATTGGATAAATCCGATAATTCACTGGTATCAATGTCGGCAATGTTAGACTTGTTTTACGTATTAAAAGTCGTTGATATATGCAAGGAGGTTATATGAGAAGGAGAGTGAACACGGTAACATTTTATGTGTAATTATCGTCTTTCGTCCTCTCTCCTTCTCATATAACCTCCTTCATTTATGCTATATTTCGTATATTAATTGTCTAGACTAGAAGCATTTCGACACACCAGTGACCTGAACATCTGGCGGGTATGACGCACCATAAGTCTACAGCGGGGTACCAAAGTCTACGTTGGAATTCCATTGAAAGTATGTGCTCACAGCTGCATACAGAATTGAACACCAATATGTGAAGGTGTGGATGAGGGGTTACAGAATAGAGAATAATGGGCAAAAAGTATAAAGAATAGAGAAAATGGCATAAAAAATTAAAGAATACAGAAATGAAAGACCCTCATATGTACTTCCTGATATTTTCATCTAATGTACAGAAAAATACATATTTGAAAAGAACTTATCATAATTAATTTAATCCCAAGTCAGAAGTCTGTAATTCAGTGGTTGTCGTTGGTTGCTGTCTGTCACATTTGTTTTTTTTACGTTAATTTTTTTTTGTCATAAATCAAGCCGGTTTTTTTTTTTTTCTTTCGTTTGAATCCGCTTGATTTAGACTCTGTTTGATAGTTGTCTTATTAGCAATCTTACCACATCTTCTTACTTTACAGTGTAATTTCTAGGCATTTTCAGTTATTTGAAGTATTCGTTTTGAAAAAACAACATTTAGGGCGATTAAATAGAACTAATCATGAATATCCTGTTAGTGTAGACTGTAGTTTACACTTGGCCATAAAGGTGTGGGATAAAAACCTCATTTCATTTTTACCGTTGTGTTGGAGGTTTACTTTGCTCTCGTCTTTTCGTAGACTGCATTACAAATGTTTACACAGAAACGGTAAATCACTATATTTCTCTTTTTTTTCAAAAATTACATCTATAATACAATTTTAGTAAAAAAAAATGACTAGATTAAATAGATTAATATTTCGAAACCAATAGACATCTTTAATTAGTGACGTTGGCAGTGAATCGAGAACAAAATGCAGGTTCCGCAATAATTCAAAGTAAAAGATTTGAAAAAAAAAAAATACCTACTCTATTTTTCTGAAAATTGAAATCGGACAAAACTGGCTTTTCTGGAGGGGCGTTTCCATCTTTCATCTGGCCCACGCAGAGCGGATGCCTAAAACTTTCCAAAACTCGTGGGAATGTAACTACGGACCGTGTTTATTATCTAAAACGCTTAGGGAACGACTAAATCAAGATTTTGGGTTGTAAAGCCCTTCTTTAGACTGGCATAACCGATATCAGTTTCACTCAGTCTGTCTAAAGCCAGCCCCCACTATCCACTTGCGTTTGCAATGTGTTTACTTGGGGCCACTCTATTTACAGAATAAAAAGAGATACGTCTGTTAGAATCCTTGGGTTTCCAGATCAAGAAATAGAAAAAAATGATCAAAGTTGAAGCTATTTGCACAAGATGGCCAACTAAGGGTAGCATTCAGCCGTCCCACACCACCCCGTAATCACCTTATGTTAGTTTTATTGTCATCAATTAGCATCAGCAGGTTAAAATTCTATGAGTGCCCTCTGTTTGGTTTTACTTTTAAAATGGCGTTCGCATGTTAAGAGAGTCTCGCGCGAAATCAGTTTTTTTTGTCAATCGTACTTTATTGTTCCTCTTTATGCAGTTGAATCTCTGGTTAAAAAAATGGGACACATCCGACCTTAGTCACTTTTAATGACCGGAATGAGTGCCTTTATAAGTCAATTTCTTATTTTTGAAAACCAGCTCCTCCTGTCCCTTTGACTATCCAGCCAAAAAAGAAACTGCAATAAATATTAAAATCTGGAGATGTGGTTTGATTGCCAATGAGACAACTATCCACCAAAGTTGAAATGAAGTGGACGTAAGTAATTATATTATTGGTGTTTAACTCCACTTTCAGTACGACTGTGCTATTTGGACAATTTTGGTGGCAGTCAGTTTTTATTGGTGGAGGTAGACGGAGTGCCCGGAAGAGAACCACCGACCTTCTGAAGGAAAACAGTGACATTTCAAGTCAATCAAGATTGGAGACGAGCGCACCTGCCACTTGCGGGATTCGAACTCACAATCTCAGTGTTGACAGGCAAGTGATACAGAGTTCGACTACATGGACTACTCGGTATATAAGCAATTATAGAATTAGAGGCAACCGTACTGTCTTCAAAAAAGAGAAAAACCCATACCGTATAGTCGGCTATGAAAGGCCCCGACATGGAAAAATATAAAAACAATTCAATTGATAAAACTAACGGCCTAATTCATAACTGAACATTTTACGAAAATCATATATGACAGACATGAACCAACGACAACCACTGAACTACAGGCTCCTGACTTGGAACACGTCACAGGCACAAAAGAATGTGGCGGGGTTGAACATGTTTGAAGGCGCCAACCCTATCCTAACCTGGGAAAGTGGTGTAACAGTACAACATAAGAACAAACTATAAAAATCAGTTGAAATAGGCTTAACTCGTCAAATCGATACAAATCAGAAAAATATCTATCAAAAACAGGCCGGACGTGGCAGGGTAATTATACATTCCTCACAACAACAACAAAAAATACCACAAAGGCCATTACCGGCAAATATGCCTTTAGAGAAGCATTGTGATCAGTTTGTTGTATTTCTTAAAATGGTGTTTTATACTTTCTGTAAGTCATGTACACTGTGTTACATATGTGTTGTTTTACGAATATATGCCTTAAATTAGGCATTCTCCCACATCTTGGAATCTGGAATTACCAAACGTCACAGTACCAAAATTGCACCTATTCAGCAAACATAGCAGCGGAAATCTCACAAGTGGCGGGGTTGAACATGTTTGAAGGCGCCAACCCTATCCTAACCTGGGAAAGTGGTGTAACAGTACAACATAAGAACAAACTATAAAAATCAGTTGAAATAGGCTTAACTCGTCAAATCGATACAAATCAGAAAAATATCTATCAAAAACAGGCCGGACGTGGCAGGGTAATTATACATTCCTCACAACAACAACAAAAAATACCACAAAGGCCATTACCGGCAAATATGCCTTTAGAGAAGCATTGTGATCAGTTTGTTGTATTTCTTAAAATGGTGTTTTATACTTTCTGTAAGTCATGTACACTGTGTTACATATGTGTTGTTTTACGAATATATGCCTTAAATTAGGCATTCTCCCACATCTTGGAATCTGGAATTACCAAACGTCACAGTACCAAAATTGCACCTATTCAGCAAACATAGCAGCGGAAATCTCACAAGTTTTCTTTGAGACTAAATAATTTACACTAGTAATTTTTTGGGGCCCTTTATAGCTTGCTGTTCGGTGTGAGCCAATGCTCCGTGTTGAAGGCCGTACCGTGACCTATAATGGTTTACTTTTATAAATTGTAACTTGGATGGAGAGTTGTCTCATTGGCACTCATACCACATCTTCCTATATCTAATTTGTATTTTTATGATTTGACATTATACACGTCTTTCAACATAGGTAAATATATTTAAATATACACAAAACGTTCACAGTATATATCAACAGATGAAGTATTCACTGGAAAAAGAAAAATCTACGGAATCTTCGCCATGCGACGTCCACAAAAAGTCATCTTTTAAAAATGAGCAAATAAAATATGTTACAAGCATCCATTCCTTAAAAAATGAATACTATAAGAATGGAATAATGTCAAATTGTTCTAAATATTTGAAGAAATAAAACAAAACATCTGTTATTCGATTTTTAAGGATGTGAATTTAAGCATGTATGCAATTTGGGTATTCCTCATTACAGAATCATGGATCGTTTGGAGGTCGGTTCAAACCCATTTTTCTATGATTCAATATTAAATTGGTGTAACTATGTAGAAAAAAAGGATACATCTACAAAATAAACACAGAATTGAAACTTTTGTCTGGATCATAAATAAACGTAGGTGAAAAAAATGCCAAAACAGGTGCAATTTGGGTATCGTCACGTTACATGAATAAAGCAGCATTGCCTGCCGAAAAAAAATAAAAAATGATTTTCTGCCGACTTTATTTTTATCATTTTTAACAAGAGTGAGCATAAATATCAACCAAATAAATAATCAGTGCAATTTTACAGTTCTAGTTTTGGGTTTAGTTGTTTCCATCGAGTTGTCTTTCCAATCTGATAATTTCTTCAACTCCTTTCCTCATTTCCTGGATAGCCTCGATTTCAGTCAGACCTAGACGACGTTTGTTGGAAATATCATAAACTCCTCCTTTGTTTTCTGTGTTTTCTCCGTCGGTACCTAAACAAAATAGAATAATTAAATCGTCAACCGTTTATACTTTGGAAATACTCAAATCTTAAAATTATTCTTTTTTTTTTAACTGACAACATATTTGATCACGAACCTTTAAATTTTAATTGAGATTCTTTGCCGTTTCAGTGAAAATAAAATATATCAAATCCTCCCTCAATAGCCCCCTTTTAACTCTCTCTTGCTCTGTCTAGTCAGAGAAAATGGGAATTGAAATATGTACCTTATGTGGTATGATATGGTATAATGAGCTTCCACCTGAGATCGTCCCCAGTTTTTGGTGGGGTTCGTGTTGCTCAGTGTTTGGTTTTCTATGTTGTGTTTTGTGTACTACTGTTTGTCTGTTTGTCTTTTTCTTAGCCATGGAGCTGTCAGTTTATTTTCGACTTATGAGTTTGAATGTCCCTTTGGTATCCTTCGTCTTTTTTTTTTTTCAATATCAAAGATTTCGGTCCAGATTAATATGCAAAAGATTAAATTTTAATCACAAAAATGTTTTAAATTATTTGACTTGTAATTAAATACAAACCTCTTGGTTGCAAATTAAGTTTTTCACAGATATCTTTGAAGTCTGGTTGAGCTGACAATTTTGGAATTTTGATGTGTACGCTGGCTCTAAGAGTGGTTCCTAAGTTTGTTGGACAGAAGGTCAGGTATCCCAGTTTATCATGATGAGCAAAGGTCAATTTCTTTTCCATTTCTTTGATAGCCTGAAAATGTTTTAAAATACAGTTTAGATAAAATATGTTTTATAAGATGCAATTCGACGTTCCAGAATCTAACTGACGCATTCTGTGTAATATTTTCAAAAGCGTACATCAAAACGTTGATTGGTTAATAACGTCCTAAACAATGAAAATTCAACCAATGAGGTGACGTTATTTTCATTTCGAGGTACGAACTATGCAATTACCCATGGTCCTTTATATTCTAAAACGGTGAATTGAATTTCACGTTTAATGTTGGATATGTATGTATATATTTTTTTACAATGTGTTTTATAACGGAACGAATCACTTGTAAAGGCCACAAAAATATTCTTTTAACACCCGACCTTAGTTAAAGGCAATACAATGCATGATGGATCTAAATATTTATAAAAAAAGGATTAGGGCCGCCAATCTGGAAGGACTCAAAAAATTTTTGAGCTTCATGAAGCATGTTAAAACTCAGTTTGTCGGTCTAGATCAAAGCAGGTTGCATGATCCCGATAAACTTGTGAATCTACAGGCCAGACTCTGAATTTTACGAAATTTTAAGTTAGGTTCTATTGGCCTGTAGAAATGATTTTTATAGGCCCAACAGTATTTTTACAAACCTGTGCTTGTGGGCCTGTGGTTGAACGCGAAGACTCACTGTTGCCGAGTTCTTGAAAAGATTTTGTTCTTTCAGGACATTTGCCCAATTGGAAACACTGTCAGTCCATTATTAATACATTTTATCAGTCCATTCAGTTATTTGGTCTTTGAATTAATTGAAATGTACACTCATTTGGGACATTTGGACTAGTAACTGTCGATTATGAGGTTGTCTGCATATTGAATTGTAAAATATCAGCTGTGAGTGACAATATGAACTGTTTTGTCGCGTAAGCGCTTTGAACGAGTGCAAAAAGGCTTTCATATTATGTCGAGCAGCTGATATTTTACAATATGAATATGATGGAAATCTGATAATCGATTTATCGGATTGTATTCGTTTATTTTGCATGATAGAAACAAATGTTTTCTTTGTTTCATCAGCGAACCGGAAGATGACTTGATAAGTGCGGGTCAAACGTATCAACGTCGGTTCATTCATTATGACGTCGGTAAAGTTATTTAGGCCGTTTTAACGTATTTGACGTCACAAAGCCGTGATATGAAATTTTACGAAGAGCTGGGCCGATTGATGCAGGCAGTCAGTAGGAACAACGATAACAACACGTCAGAATTTTATTTTTCATTCAGTCGAATGATTGGGACTGGCAGCTCTTAAGAAATCTTTGTTGATATATTTTTAACAAACATGATATTGTCTTGAATATGTTATAGTTACCGCTTGGCGTTATTTATGTTTACAATCAATCAATCAATCTTTAAAATTTCTTGTTTTACTCAGCATACTGTCGAATTGTGGGTACTCCTTTAATGCTCAACAAATTATACATACAAATATTACTTACCGTGACCAATCTGGTATAAATTTCTTTGAGATTTCCTCCTTTCTGCATGGAGATGAGACGAAGATGATCTTCTTCATTGACCCAGACAAGGAAAGTTTTGTTTTTGTTGAAAAATATTCCTCTTCCAGTAGGCCAGTCATTGTAACCACCAGCAGATCTCAAACATCTATTCAATTATAAAAATAAATATATTTTAACAATAAATTACGATAGGGCTAAACAATATGTTGTTCAAGTATTCCTTTCCATAATTTGGACACACAGTCAGTGTCAGTCACACAAGATATCAGTCTTGCCCGATACAAGGAAAAAATGGAAAGCAAACATTAGTCCATTGCCCTTGGCTACTTGTTAGCCTGTTCTAGTGTCGATCTAATTTAACTGTTATGTGTCTAGAAGTAGTCAATTAAAAGTTCAGTATGTTTTTCAGTCAAACCAAAGCTTTTTAAATACAAGGACACACTTTTCAGATAATTAAAAAGCCATATCCTTTGGGACGTTTGGTTTCTCATATCTAATCCACCCCCTCCACCCCCCCAAAAAAAATAGAATGTGCCTACCTACCTACCCATACCTAACTGACATGGGTCTGGTTTCGACAAATAGTGGGTGTCTCTACCTACCCTATTTTTCTGTCAGGAGGAAGACAAGTATATATATTTGTTTGGCCTTAACAATGATACTTACGAATCGTGGTCATTAAACAAGAAATGGTCAGCTGTGAGCTGGGTTTGAACTTCTTTAGTCATTCCTTCAAGTGGGAAGTATTCTCCAGCCAACTCTCCGGTCAGGCTGTTCAGTGCTGCAACGGATTGTTTTTCCATTTCAACTTTGTCCTATATAATTAAAAAAAAACAATACAATTTAATTTTATTGAATTACTTTTTTCCCCATTTTATTTTACAACCAGCTTTTAGTTCAATGATTTTGTGCTGAACAGCAATCATTCGCCATCTTTAGTGCAAATAGGCAGAGTTACTCAGTTCAGTATTAGACAAGACGCCCCAGTGTCCACTTTTAAGGGTCTTGTAGAATCCTCTGCCATCACTATTCGGTGCAAATGTGTGGTACCAGGGTTTGAAATTAGCAGGGGCCCACTCGCCAATGGCCCCTAAAATTTGGTGTCGGCTACATAAATTTCTGCTTTTCTTGTATAGGACTATATATGTGGGCTACAAAATTAAAGCTGTGGGCTACCATGCCAAAATTTTAACTTCAATCCCTGGGTACCATTTGATAATAGAATAACGAAAATGCAGTCTTCTCGATTAACCACAAGCTCTACGGCAAACTGGCCAAGGCCGGTAAAACATTCATAAAAAGAGGCGCCAAACGCCATATTTATAAACTTAAAGAAATTTTATGAAACACAATTGATTTTGCCGATATTACATCCATATAGGTCAAGAAAAACACAAAATATAACACAGTATATGTCATAACAGCCAAGAATAACAAGAATAAACATAGTCGTGATAATGTAACTTTTAATGTTCATAGAACACATTTTCGCAGAATGTTCGCTACTCGCGTTTTTAACTGTTTGTCAGATATTCGGAATCCTTTAGTTTTATCCATGTTATGCCAATAAAAGTTTTGCCCACTAACCCCTACTTTTATTTTCATAATTTTGTAACATATAGTTTAAAATGCCATTTTTAAAAATCTTTTAAAATCCTTGTTATTTTGTTATAATTTTTGAAAGAAAACAGGTGCCAATGTTAAATGTATGAAAAGTCTACAGAGAATCATTTCCCGCATAATTTTCCATTCATTATATCTCAAAAACAGGACACACACCTTTCATTTTTTTTCTGCTTTTTAAGTTCCTTTATTTATATATACTATCAATTTATTACAGTCTTTTTCGGTTTTTAAAACTGCTTCGTATATAAACAAAAATAAATTATCGGACGCTGCACGAAAAGTAAACTGATGAATAAGCTTGATTAATTATACATGCTTTCTTCTTGTTATTTGTGACATATTCTTTTACATTCTATATTTTGTTTATTTTGTCACAAATCAGATATTAAGTTGATTTGTTATATAACGATAAAGTTCCCATTGAATTGAATTCTTAAAGAAGCAGCTTTTACATATTCTTCACAACTCGGCCGAGTCCGTACCTCCATCTAATGGATACTAGATAGATGGAGAGAAGCGGAGTCACCCGAGGTTAGCCGATTGAGCTTTTACAGTTACACCATTTACATTGTATCTTGTTCTTCGTATGAAATAGAGACTTACGGACGTTGTCCTTATGACGTGACGAAATTGGAGCTAAAGATCAAAAGAACAAAGAAATAACAAAGAAATACTAATACTCTTTATTTGACGATTCAATAATTACCTCTTTTGAACTGACTGGTGGAAAGGCAAAAGCAGCATGACTTCTTCCAACTCTGACACGTGTAGACAAAATGTACTCATTTTTTGGATCAAGATCGCCAAATCCTAGGTTGCTGAGATCCCCAAAGTCTGGCTTAGGATGTTTGACTTCTGGAACTTTGTGGTAGTCTTTGATGACAGGGTGGAGAAGATCAGAGAAGGTGTCGTATCCCTCTGGGTCGCAGGCATAAACACCACAGTGACTGTGCAAGTTTTCACATCCTTTTGAAAGGAAAAAACACAACCAGTTATTATAAGTTGTCAGGAGTAGAAATGTTAAAATAAGTAGGTTGATTGAGGGTAGAAAAAAATGAAAAAGGTCTTAACTGCAAAGAAACAAAACACTAGAAGTTGAAGAGAGACAACACAAAAAAATCCAGATAATAATGACGTTTGCCATATCTGCAATCTTCACGATAACTTTTTTGCTAACTAAGTAACTTGCATGAAATCAGTTCACCAGATTTCTATATATATACAAGGATTGCAACTTTTCTGATTTTGGTACTACTAACAATTAGATTTTCGATTCCTCTTGAAGCAGGAAAGCGCCAAATTTGAAAGCAAAGTATAGCAATTATTAGTTTGAAAAGTTGGAACTACACTAGTCCAAATAATTATGACGTCTTGAAAGGCTATTTTATTTTTTTGCTTTGACGCCTTCCTTCGATTTGCGTCACAGCAAAAAATTAAAATAGCCTTTGAAGACGTCATAATTATTTGGACTAGACAAAGAGCTACGGTTCCGCAGCTAGAACAAAAAAAAAGACCAAACTCTTCTGTCTATTATGCCATTTATGGCATATATATTTCCTGATATTCATTTTTTATATTTACAAAGTCGATATTTGAAAGCAAAATGTTTGGTCTGTGACCGAATTCTTCTGTCTTTCCTGATCTTCATTTGCTTTTTTCATTTCTTTTTTTGCATTAGTCTATAGTTGTCGGCTCGCATAAAAAAAAGCAGAAATAGTAAACTCTCGATATTTGTACGTGTAAATATAAAAAATGAAATATCAATGATTATATAATTTAAAAGCAGAAATATTTGGAAGTTTGATTTACGAAAATAATATCTATAGAAACAAATTATGAGTCTGAAGAGGAACCTCGTGGTCTAGTCCTTGAAATCAACTCTAAAGTTATCTGCGGAACCGTAGCTCTTAGGTCCTTTTGATATTTTTTGACAATTTGCGGAGCGGTTCCGCAGCTACTCTAAAGTCTAAGTGAAAAAAAAAACAAACAAGCCAACACAACTCTTCACAGAAAACTTAAGATTGTGAAACACGAAGCACGATAAATTTAATCTCAACAAACCTGATCTGATGCAGTCTGCCAAAGTTCCACCAAGCTTGCTTTTTAGGCCTTTCAATTTGTCGTAAACATCTTGCGTGAGGTATTTCTTCAACAAAGAATGACTGTCTCCCTTTTTCAATTTGTTATACAACTCCTCAACTGAAGCCATGGTTAAAAATAATCAAGTAAACTGGAAATAAAAGAAACAAAAAATAGAATAAAACTGAACTGCGAAAACAAACAAACAAAATACGGCTTAGCGTCGGCAGGAAGTGATGTAAGACAACGTCAGACTATTGTGACGTCACGTTTGTGAAATTTCTGAAACGAAGTCGGATAAACGAAGTGATAGGTTCTGCATTTGAACTGCTATCATTATTACATTTACATCAATATATTTAAACACGGTAGCCGTTATAAGAAATGCTCACATCAACTCAAGTACGAACAACTTTCTAACTTTGAATTTTATGATTCTTCAATGCTCAATATTAATCCTGGATTAAGTTTCTAGCCAACAAATCCTTAATTCCTCCCAAAATGTGTATTACCGTCACGGATTACAGTAAAATAAAAATGGTTGCACTTTAATAATTCGGTTTAAAGTTTTTAATCTAACCTTTAAATATGCTTACACATGCAAAATTAATTCAATAAATGACTAAGTCGCCTATTACAAAGTATAAGGCTGCAACAAATTTAAACATTGATAAGAAGGCAGATAAACGGGATAATACGGAAACCTTTGAAGGGCATTCGGGACGTATATATACCAGATCATACCTGCGTAAAACCGTATAAGAATGAACATGTACATAACGAACTACATTTTTTTGGCGAATTTCCCTCATGACGTTCCAACAATTTGATAAAATGCTTATACGAAAGAACAGCACGAATATTATGCACTTAAATATGACACCGTTTAGGGACCGGTCATTATTTATCTCCAGGGGGGGGGGGGGGGGGGGGGGGGGCGGCAAAATGTAAATTTGAAATGATCAAATATAATTGACCCCCCCTTTTAAAATGTGTTAAAAAAAATTAACCCCCCCCCCCTCTTTCAACTACATAAAAACTTTTGACCCCCCTCTTTTCTGATTATAATTGAAAGGTTTCAAATGATTCAATCTTCATAATATGTTGCTCTTCATTGGCGGTTGTAGTTACTCGTGACTGGTTCTGCTCATTGCTAACCTCATTGCCATTCTCTGTTGATGCTTCAACCTCGACATCGAGCACAGACGTCTTTGATGGTCCATATGCCTCTATTGGGATAGCATTCGGTTTAAATGGAAATATCCCAGTAGCTCTGAACCCACTGAATATATTGACTAGATTCATTTTTTCATTAAAGGCTTGCTTGAATAAGCCACAAAAATCGTAGCGCGTGACTATTCTTCCTGGATTCTGCCTAAGAAATGCCTCACAGCATATATTGTACGACCTTTTCAGCGGTCCAAATACGCTTCTATCGAGTGGCTGTGTCCAGTGCGTTGTATGGGGAGGAAGACAGAACATTTCTATCTGATAAGATACGGCTGTTTCCAACAGATCCACTGTTATGTGTGAAGAATGTCCATCCAGTATGAGCAGAACAGGTCTCTGGGGAGGAAGATTAGGTATAAACAGCTTTTGAAACCAATTATTGAATAAATCTGAATCAATAAATGAACTCTTACTGCATGCAAATAATGTGTTTGCTGGTGCATTGCCCATCAATGCTTGGCTTACTCTTTGTCCCTTAAAGATGAGCATTGGTGGTAGAACTCTTGCCTCTGCGTTCACACAGCATAACGCGGTTACATTTTCGCCGCGTTCTCCGCTTGTTTTGGAATGCACACTCTTTTTGCCTCTTTTACCGACAATCTTTGATGGATCATGTACGGTACTCAAGCCAGTCTCATCCGCATTAAAAATTTGCTGGGGCTTTTCCTTAATGTTCAGTTTATCCATGAAACTTCCAAGCTTTTGAAAGTAAGCTGAAATGACATTTGGATTCAGCATTGAACTTCGTGCTGCGCTAAGACCCTCTGGTATGCGTACAGATAAACATGGATGTCGATCTCTAAACCCTTGCCACCAATCATAACCGGCACTTTTCTTATCATTGTTAAAACAATGCTTTCTCACCGACCTCACGGCTATCTCGTAGGCTAGCTTTCGGACATCTGTGATGGTTAAACCAAATCCTCTTTCCTCCATTCTTAGTACATGCCCGACCAGAGCTTCTTCATCCTTTATAGAAAGTACTGTGGGTTTTGTTGCTGGTGAATCCAGATCCATAGTTTTCAGTCTCCGAATTAGTGTTGTTCTTGGTATATTATACATCTTTGATGCTTTTAATTTAGACATGCCCCCACTCTTTACATGGCGAACCGCTTCTTTCAGACCCTCTTTTGACCACTTTCCTAGCTTTGGAGTCCATCCCTTTTTCTTTCTGGCCATTTGCTGAAATAAAAAAGATGTAGGTTGTATTGCTTTATATGAGTGTTTTATACGCTATATATTTAAGAACTGAGACTGGCGTCGATATACAGACTTAAAACCAAGAAGATTGCGGGAAACAAATATTGTTTACAGACGTTGGCTAGTATTTTTATCAGATTCTCGAGCTCTTTGAGATGTATCCAATCCAACATGTTATTGACCCCCCTTTTTTTTCTTTTGGATTTGTTCATATATTTATCTAAAAATCCTCTGGGAAACCTTTTTAACCTTTTTGTTAGTTTTCATAAATTTTGATGCACAACACAAAACAATAGAAAATTAAAGACACATACCAAGTTTATGTTTATTTTGTTACTGAACAATACGAGTTGTCCACTTTCCCCATGGTAATGGGGTAAGTGGACACCTCGGTTGTTATCGTGTTTTTCAAGAAACGAAAACAAATTTATTCCTTGTAGACCATTTAATGTGATACATTTTATAATGATGCATTTGTTGTGGCTATTGAATTATAACTAAGCTTATAGGGGGTTTGTGTGCACTGATCTGCTTTAGGATATGTTTTATGCAAATTTCTGCTTTTTTTAATGAATGCTATATGACGTCATACAGATATTGCAAGCTACTTGCAACACGGCACCGCTTCTTCTGTTTCACTCAAAGCAGCAATTTTCCGCAAAGATAAATAAGTCTTTGGGTTTGAATCGTAATCCTTGATATCCAAGTTAGATCAAGTCAAGTTATTTTCAACGGAATCCCACAAACATTCATTGTAAAAGACAATTTAGAGAACGTACATATTCGGCGGGTATACGACATGTACGCCGCCATATTACAGAAGCAGAATGCTTTCATTCAGCTAGGTTTGTATTTTTTATGCCATTGTACTATCAAAGGCATCATTGAAAGTCTCATTTCAAGGCATATTTGTCGTTTTGAGAATCTCAAGTATGCATTCACGAACGTTTGTCGCCGAACGGGACAGATTTCTGTGTGTTTTGTCATCAAAACAAACGTATGATTCATTAGAGATACTAATTATCTCTCACTTCCATTATCGAAACCAGCAAAAAAAAACAATATGCATGAATATTTACTGATACGGTGCATTGACCTTCAATTTACCTTTTAACTTTTCTTTGACTTTGTCCGTTGTGTTGATCATCTACGTGTCCGACGGGAGACAACTCGCATTAAGACAGCCATCGGAAATAACTAACGCGGTGACCACTTACCCCACATGTCCACTTACCCCAATTTCCCCTATGAGTTCATCTTGAAAAATCCAAATGGTGTCACCTTTGCATGAATAGCCACATAATTGTGAAACCCGTTCGACTTTTCAATGTGATCAATCTTTTATAAATTGTGTTTTATATGTATAATATGTAAAAATATTCCATAAAGACTTGAGAGCAAACTGAAAGTCTACTTTTGCTGTGGTGAAGCCAGGATTTTGAAACCAATTTTAAAGTAACTTCTCCTAGTTTCTTAGTCCTATAACATCTAAGAAAAACATATGAAAAGTGACTAATTTTGCACATAATTTGGCAAAATTCATTAGTCACTTGACAATATAATTAGTCAAAGAGTAATGTGACTAGCTCTAGCTAGATCACTGATAGTGACAGTTTGATATTTGGCAAAATGTAAAACTAGGAGACATTTTCTTGGGCTGAATATATTTATTTTCATTTATATGCAAATCCATTTTTTATTTTACATGCAAAAGTAGAAATAACATTCAGATGTCACCACATTTATGTCATCAACATGTGGAACCCACATCAAGCTACAAGTAAGCTATGAAGGACCCAAACAACTATATAGTCTATGGTCATGGCACAATATGGCGATCAGTGAATCTATGGCCAATAAAATCATGACCCCCTTTGCTTAATCAACCTGGAAAGGAGTGACCCCCCTCTATCAGTTTCCATTTTTTTCATGACCTACCCCTACTTTTTGCCGCCCCCTGGAGATAAATAATGACCGGTCCCTTAGTATAAATAATAATCACAGTTTGTTAGATGGAAAGGGACCGGAAGAAACTGTTAATAACATAGTTTATGTTGTCATGCATTGTTAGTGAAATAATAGCATTGGACCGTTTTGTTATTGATAGAAACTGATGTCCAACATCCACTTCTTAATTTTTCTGTTTAAAACTGATAATTTAATTAGTTTATCTGTTTGAAATAGGAAAATTTGTCTAACGTAAACATTTAAAAATATTTTATACAAATAAGAAGATGTGGTATGCATGATTCCCAATGAGACACCTCTCCACCAGAATACAGAATGTGGCGGGGTTAAACATGTTTGCGGGTGCACAACCCTCACCTAACCTGGGACAGTGTATGCCTTGATTGCGGCATGCCCTTTAATATTTATTACACAATAACAGCTACCCAAAATGGAAAATAATGTTTATTTGCTTATTTCCGTGATCATTTTTTGCTCAATGTCCATCGTCAAATACTTCTTGCAAATTCGAGACATGTAAAATATTTAAGCTGCATTTAATGGTAATAATTCTTAATAGGCAGGTGATATTTGTGTGTAATCTTGGAAAATAGTTATTTTTCCACCTTGTGTTTTTTTTTTATATTCACATGAAATTAAATTTTTCAACTTTCAGGCTGTTAGGCCAACAAAAATATATAAGTATGCTTGTTTCCTGTCTCCCGACCATCTTTGTCTCGGACCCTCCGACCCTTATTTTTTTTCGTTTTTCGTGCATTTGTGGAAAATTGCTATGAAAAGTTGTCTGAATCAGTGAGAGAATAAAGCACATCTCAAACATTTGATTTAACTCTGACATGTTTATTTTTCAACAGTTCTTCTTGTTCAACTACCAGAATAAAGTTCATTTTTGTTTTTCATTCTGTTTATTTCAGTAAGCTATATGAAATATATCATCAAAAGGGAAAATAAACATTATAATTATTCAACCTAAATTGACATGTGCAGGTGACATATACTCTTTGCATTCACGTCAAGAAATCCTTGCATGAAGTGACTTTTTGGTGAGTCTGTATTTGGTGTGTTACAACGTTCTGTCCTAAATTATTTCAGTCTAAATTATTCCTCATTCATTTTAGTCGGCCAACCCTAGGGAACCTCCTCATTTACTCAATTGTTCAACTTGTTCTCGTACTGAAAAAAGCATGAAACATTTGTCACTGGACTTTAGACAAACGACAATTAATCAATCAATCTGAATCCAATGCATATGATTGACGTGTAATGAATTATTATTAAGATACAAAAATCAAATTACAAATTACGGAATCGCATAAAACAAAAGAATCAATACCAGTTGCGTCGACAATGCATAACTGTCTCCTGTAGATATACATGATGACTAACCTGACATGCGAATATACACTCAGTCCAAATCTGATTTAAATACAGATCCTGTATCCACGCTTCGCTTACATGCTTTGTATTTCAATGATATTACCCTCAGTCAAAATGTCACAATCAGGAATAGGACATGCCTACAGATCAGACGAATTTTCTGGTAACGTAAATTATACCAGAAGAACATGTCGGAACCTCGTTGACCGAGTGTCTGTTGTGAAATATGATCTTTTGCAACTTTTGGGGAATTTGGTGATGACAGATATTTGTTAGGCCCTGTATAGTTTATTTAGTACTTTCTTAGACATTTTAGAGCGCAATCAAGAGCTTGGCATATTGTATAGACGCCTCCCTGATGTCGATTGATTAATTGATTGAATGAATGGTGATTGCTTTGAGTTATCTCTCTTTGTATGGTGCGCATTATTCTAAAAACAATAATGGGAATTCTACTCTACGCTTAAAAATACCACTGGACATTGATTAATCTGATTATGTCACGGTATATTGAACACCTTTCTAATGTACATGTTTCCTCCTACCGTGGGAAATACGTGCGGAATGTAAAGGTCCGCGTACTGATCTTCAATTCCTTCCTCTAATCTATCTTCATGACTTTTCTAAAATTTTTAGTTAAAACTCGTCTTCTTTTTCTCTTTCGCGACTTATAAGGATTTTTACATGTCATAAGTAACACAACTTTTCCAAAATCATTTAAGTTCACACTTGTTAGTGTGATTGTTGCTTAGTCTTCCTATATATTTTTTGTTTATAGTGTCTGATTTAAATACATATCCTGTGTCCACGTTACGCTTATAAGGACGACGAGGATCAGATCTATTTTCTGTAATGATAATTATTACTTCATCTAATGTTTCTGTGCAAAACCCGAGGATCCCAGAAGGTCTCAACGGAAAGTTAAACGAACCATTGTTAAATGCTTGTAAGCGAACCGTGGACACATGAAATGCATATTAATCAGATGTTTTTGTTGTAGGCTTTTTGTTTGTCGTTTTGTCTTTAATTGTCAAGTTTCGTATCAGTGATTTCAAAAGTCGTCAAGATTTAATTATCTAAAAAAATTCACATCTAAATAATTTTTAAGAAGGCGCGTTCATCAGTATTGGTTAAATAGTCAGTGTTATACATTTACCACACAGGTACTATTTAGAACTTCAAAATCATGAAAACGTATAGAAAATAATTGAGTTCTAATACATTATGTGTCTTTCATATGAATAATAGAACAAGCAGGCAAGAAGAGGAGCAAATAATTTCCCATAGGAATGTGGATTGATGTGGGGGCATCGGTGGCCGAGTGGCATTGGTCTAAGTACTCCAACTACTGTATCAATGAGGTTGTGAATTCGAATTTTCTCCGGCTTCCTCCACCAATAAAAACTGGCTGCAATGAAATAGCTAATAGTGCTGACAGTGGCGTTCAACATCAATCAATCAAACAATTAATTAATTGCATGTTGAATAAAAAAAAATCCAGGTCTTGGTGGTGTCAGTTTCAGACAACTTTTTGTTTGAATCAGTGTGGTTTTGTTTACCAGTGTATGATTTATTCTTTTTTAAAACAATATTTGTGTATCATACTTTATCATGAAACAAAGTAAGACTATCTA